ACCGTTAACTTGTTTTAAATTGTATCTGTAATTTCTACAAATTTTGTGTAATTTTTTTCACATGAGTTCTGTTAACTAGACTGGTTCTTTTGTTAATCTCTGTCCATAAATTTGCTAGGTTTGTAAATTTAGGTATTGTTTTCCCTTCAAAATTATACTTTTAGAATATGTTTGTTCTAGGACATTTAGCCCTCAATGTATTCTTAATAGATACATCTTATAGCACAGTTATTTTTTACAGTAAATGGGATTTTTTATTTAATTGTCTATTGACTTTTTTTTTCCAGGGTTCATTGAAAAATCCTTAGTGGTATTGACATGTTTCAATTAGCCAATGACTCGGAATGATGGATTCTCCGAAGATTGGAAATGGTTTGCCAGTGATTGGACCAGGGACTGATATAGGGATATCTTCACTCCACATGGTGGGGTATTTGGGAAAAGTTAGTGAACTTATTTTTTGCCTCAGTGCAAAGTTATTTTTTTCCTTCCTATTTTTGAGACTTAAATTTGGTTTTAATGTTACCAATTAACTTATAAAAAATTGTATCTTCCACGGAAATCGTATAGTAATGGCGAAAGATTGTTTTAATGTGTTTACCTCTCTGTTTTATTGATATGTGAAAATAGAAATAAAACATGGACCTTATAGTTTACTATTCTTTGGAAAAATGGCACATACATTTTCCCTGGCAGCTGATGTTACTTTTCTCTTGCAAATAAAACTGATGTTCTTCTTAACACTTACAATTTAATATTTAAAACTATAACATATTTTTTCTAGAATAATAACTGTATTTAGAGCCTTATATGCATTTCTTTTATTTGCCATGTTTAAAATACCTTGCCAGGATACTTGTAGTTAAAAATTTTTCTGATTATCTTTCCATTTAACTAATTTTGTGTATTCTAAGAATATTTATATTTTAATTTGCTTTGTTTCTCTTGTAGACTTGTGATTCAGCTAAAGTTACGGCAGATGGGTATTGCCCTGCTTGTAAAGAGAAGGGGAAGTTAAAAGTCTTAAAGACTTACCGAATTAGTTTTCAAGAATCTGTCTTTTTGTGTGAGGATCTGCAGGTAAAGTATTAATTTTATATAGGTTTTATATAATTTTATATAGGTTTATATAGGTTTTAGCATTTTTCCTTTACTGTTAAAATGTTTACTTATTTTGTAATTTTTAGACT